CTTTCTTTCTTTCTTTCTTTCTTTCTTTCTTTCTTTCTTTCTTTCTTGTTCTCCCAGAGTCATATTGATGGGTGGCACAGAAATTTAATAAGTAAATAAAATAAAAGATAATGTTTTTTATGCCATCAGCACACGTTGGCTGAGGAATTCTGGGAGTTGAAGCCCACAAGTCTTAAAAGTTGCCATGTTTGGCAATCCCTGTAAGAGAGGGATGAAAAGAGGAAGGAAAGGACAGGGAGGAGCAAAACACAAGGACTAGAAACTTGGAGAGGATCTGGAAAGTGAAAAGTCTCTCTCTTTTGTCATCTTTTTTTCGTACAGTGGCTGCAGCTCACCATGTACTCCTAAGGGCCACCGGCTGTCCGTGAGACCTCGCCTCTTCCTTCTACAATCCCCAATTCTGTCCTGGAGGGATGCGGTAGAGTTTGGCGTTACCTATTGGCAGACCCGCCTTTCAGCCTGAGAAAATCTTAAGGAGACGCTATTCTGCGGTTCTGCTTCCTTTCCTGAAAGCCAAACGAAGAAACTTCCCGTTTTTACTCTTGTTTTGCATTGCAATTTTTAACGCCCCCCGCCCCCCCCCTTGTAAAAGCAACTGGCTGGGTTTTTATTTTATGTTTTTTGCATTGACTCTTCACTTGCTATCCCTGCAGCCTTTTCAAAGCACCAGGAGTGGGGAGGGGGTGGTGGGGTGGGGGTCTCTTGAAAGAGAAAGCTCCCCCTTTGCCCTCCCAACTGGGTTGGAATTCGAGTGTTGCCATGCATATTTGATAGAGCCCCCCCCCCCTTTTGGGGGTGTTTTGTTTTTTGTAAGTTTCATTTTGTAAGCTCTGTATGGAGGGGATCGGTATACAGAGCACCAGTTCCTTGTAAAACCACATCCCTTGGATAGGGGAAGGGGGACAGTCTGTAGGGGATTTTGCAAATGGGGCCCCAAATAATCTCTTTATGGACCCTGTGAGCTGCTGACCGATCATCTGGACTTACAGCCGCCTTCATAATTCACATTTTCCCAACTAGGAATAGGATGAGGTGAGCTCAATGGCCCTTGTCTACCTCTTCTCACTCCTCCTCCCCAAAATAAACTATTTCCCCTTTTCAAAATCCCCAAACACACTCCGCCTGGATACGACTTCAAAAAGCAATAACTTAGCAGCTTAGGGAACCAATGCTGAAGGCTGAGCTACTTAAATAATATGGATATATGACACCTTGTCCTTTTTTTATTTCTTCCCCCTCAGGCTGCCAATAGAGGCCTGGCCCAGGATCTTCAGAGTTGGCTTTGGAATTCTATTTTTTTTTTTAAAAGCATCTTTAATGCGCAGTGTGTGGCTGCACCATGCAAATTTCTCAGCAATGCACTTTTGTCATGTGCCAATTCTATGCATGAATTTTGAAGGTCTGTGAAACAGGGCTGACCAACTTTGGCACCTTTAAAACCTGTGGACTGCAAAGCTGGCTGGGGGATTCTGGGAGTTGAAGTCCACAGGTCTTAAAGGGGACAAGGTTGGGAACGCCTGGTCTAAAGTATTTGAAAGAGAGCTCCAAATTTTATGGGAAGTATTTCTAGAAATTAAATTTCCTTTAAAAATGTGGTTGGGGGTGTGTGTGTGAACCCTGTCAGATTATGAAAAGTTGGACATTGTGGGTTTATACATTCTGGTTTCTTCCCTATTTTTGGGAAGGGCTGAGAAGGGACCCAGAATAACATTAGAGGCCCTTTGAGGCTTCTAAAAAGCTGTAAATCTTCCCCCCCATTTTTTTTTCCTTCTGGATTCAGCTTCTGAAAAAACCATCCTTGGCTAGAAATGGTCACGAATGATGTTTTGTTTCCTCTGCCTAAAATTAGGAAATGTGAGGGGGACTTTTGTGTGTGTGTGTGTGAGGGGGGGAGAACGTTTGCAAACCGTTCTTTTGGGAATATCCCCCAATTCTGGCGAAAGGTTTTGCTGGCTCAGAGAGAGAGAGAGAATTTGCTCAGGTGAGGAAAAAATTGTGATGAATAATTTGCAATCTCTAAATGGGTTGATGTTCTCTCTTTTGAACTGCTGGCAGGTCTTTCTTCTGTCGCCCACCCACCCACACTTCCACAGGCCCCCAAGGTTAGAGGCCGCCTCCAACTGTATGCTCGGTTTTCTAATAGCTCATTAGCAACAAGAATAAAATGTTGGAGAATAATAAGAATCCGCCTGCCGCTGTCGTATTGTTTGCTCAGCGCCTTCTCCAGCAGAGGGAAGATTTTCTTCTGTTTTCCATGTCTCTGCAATGCTGGTCTGTCTCGACGTTACTCAGCCATCGATGCTTAAAACTGAATTTCGTGGTCCAACTGGAGAATTTTGACGGTGTTAGAAGGGAGGGAGGGAGAGGATTGGGGTGTCCTTGGGGCTCTCTGAGCTGGGTGGTTTCCTTGCAGACATTTTATGACCCAACTAGGGAACTTCATCAATACTACAGGTGGGATTTGGGAGAGGAGGAGGAAGAGGAAGAAGACAAGGGGGTCTGGGGTGCTCTTTGAGCTTTGGTGGTTTTCTTGCAGATGTTTCATGACCCAACTAGGTGATATCATCAGTATTAGGAGGGAGTGGGATATGCAGGAGAAAAATTGTGGGGTTGTTGGTGCCGTCTGAGCTGGGTGGTTTTCTTGCAGACGTTTCATCACACCACTAGGTAACATCATCAGGGCTAGAAGGGAGAGGGGTGTGTGGAGAGGCGGAGGATTGTGGGGTTCTTGGAGCTCTCTGGCACTTTCTTTGTAGACGTTTCATGACCCAACTAGGTAATGTTGTCAATGCTAGAAGGATGGCAACTGTGGGGTCCCTGGTGCTTTCTGAGCTGGGTGGTTTCCTTGCAGACGTTTCACGACCCAACTAGGTTACATCAGGGCGAAGAAAAAGCATCGAACCGACTGAAGAAGCAACCTTATTGGTAAGCAAGAAAGCCACCAAACAGAGAGAGAGGACCAAGGCCCCCACATTTGGAGGGCGGCCTTAATCTTGTTTTTTTTTTGGAGCAGAAGGCAGGACCTGTTGTCTGGCAGGCCTCAAGCCCCAGTTTCGGTCTGCAGACAGACGGGGTTGTAAGGAGGGGCTACGGCCCATTTGTCATATTTTGGGCACATCGCGGCTCCTTTGATGGATGGGCTGCTGCCTCTGCCAATGAGTCAGGCAGGCCGAAGGCTGGACCAGCTTTGAGTCAGGAGAAGGTGGCCGTGACTCTCCTTGACTGGGGGAAAACAGAAGGGGGTTGAAAATAACCGGCATGTGGAAAGGACTGGGAGGGAGCCTGGAGGTCTTAAGCTCTGAAATGATATTGATCTGTCTTACCTATCATCTATCTTATATCTCTATATATCTCTGTATCTTTCTATCCCATCTACCTACCTATCTATCATCATCATCATCTCTCATCTATCTACCTATATCATCATCTCTATCATCTCTCTCCTGTCTATCTATCTATCTATCTATCTATCTATCTATCTATCTATCTATCTACCTACCTACCTATCCTCTCTATCATCTCATGTGTGCATGTATGTATATGTGTGTGTGTGTGTACACACACACACACACACACACACACACATATATATTGGTGTTTGTTACCAATAAACACAGACCAAGACTCCCAACCAATCAGGATGAAGAAAAAAACATTCTGGCACAGCAGTAGGCTACCCCCAAATTTAAAACAGAAATGGCTGTGAAAGTCTGACTCACAGATGAACACAATACAGAAGCCTGATGATGGCAAATGAGATTCTGCCGAAACGTTGCTACAACTTTAAAAGCACAACTATAATGACGTGGGAAAATACCCGAACAAAGCTGAATACCATACATGTAAGTACCCGCGAAAACTTAAGAAAATTACACACACACACACACACACACACACACACACACACACAAGTCAATCATACTTCTATGAAATCAAACTGTCCACTTAGGTAGCAACACTGATGGACAATCCATTTCACATGCTGTTGTGCAAATGGAATAGACAACAGGTGGAAAGCAGACACAGTTAGCAAGACATCCCCAATAAAGGAGTGGTTCTGCAGGTGGTGACCACAGACCACTTCTCAGTTCCTATGCTTTCTGGCTGATGGTTTGGTCACTTTTGAATGCTGGCGGTGCTTTCACTCTAGTGGTAGCATGAGACGGAGTCTACAACCCACACAAGTGGCTCAGGTAGTGCAGCTCATCCAGGATGGCACATCAATGCGAGCTGTGGCAAGAAGGTTTGCTGTGTCGGTCAGTGTAGTGTCCAGAGCATGGAGGCGCTACCAGGAGACAGGCCAGTACATCAGGACACATGGAGGAGGCCATAGGAGGGCAACAACCCAGCATCAGGACCGCTACCTCTGCCTTTGTGCAAGGAGGGACAGGAGGAGCAATGCCAGAGCCCAGCAAAATGACCTCCAGCGGGCCACAAATGTGCATGTGGCTGCTCAAATGGTCAGAAACAGACTCCATGTGGGTGGTATGAGGGCCCGACGTCCACAGGTGGAGGTTGTGCTTGCAGCCCAACACCATGCAGGACGTTTGGCATTTGCCAGAGAACACCAAGATTGGCAAATTCACCACTGGCGCCCTGTGCTCTTCACAGATGAAAGCAGGTTCACACTGAGCACAGGTGCCAGACATGACAGGGTCTGGAGACGCTGTGGAGAGTGTTCTGCTGCCTGCAACATCCTCCAGCATGACCAGTTTGGCAGTGGGTCAGTAATGGTGTGAGGTGGCATTTCTTTAGGGGGCCGCACAGCCCTCCATGTGCTCGCCAGAGGTAGCCTGACTGCCATTAGGTACCGAGATGAGATCCTCAGCCGCCTTGTGAGACCATATGCTGGTGCGGTTGGCCCTGGGTTCCTCCTAATGCAAGACAATGCTAGACCTCATGTGGCTGGAGTGTGTCAGAAGTTCCTGCAAGATGAAGGCATTGATGCTATGGACTGGCCCGCCCGTTCCTCAGACCTGAATCCAGTTGAGCACATCTGGGACATCATGTCTCGCTCCATCCACCAATGCCACATTGCACCACAGACTGTCCAGGAGTTGGGGGATGCTTTAGTCCAGGTGTGGGAGGAGATCCCTCAGGAGACCACCTGCCACCTCATCAGGAGCATCCCCAGGCATTGTAGGGAGGTCATACAGGCACGTGGAGGCCACACACACTACTGAGCCTCATTTTGACTTGTTTTAAGGACATTACATCAAAGTTGGATCAGCCTGTAGTGTTTTTTAATACTTTAATTTTGAGTGTAACTCCAAATCCAGACCTCCATGGGTTGCTAAATTTGATTTCCACTGGTAATTTTTGTGTGATTTTGTTGTCAGCACATTCAACTATGTAATGAACAAAGTATTTAATATGAATATTTCATTCATTCAGATCTAGGATGTCTTATTTTTGTGTTCCCTTTATTTTTTTGAGCAGTGTGTGTGTGTGTGTGTGTGTATGTATGTGTGTGTAAGTATGTTCTCTCTCATCTACCTACCTACCTACCTCTCTCTCTCTTATCATCTCTCATCTCTATCTTTCTACCATCTATCATCTACCTACCTCTCTCTCTACCATCTATATATCTATCATCTCTATGTATCATCTATCATCTATCATCTACCTACCTACCTACTTATTCTATCTATCTATCTATCTATCTATCTATCTATCTATCTATCTATCTGATTTGTTTGTCACCCATCCCATCTAGAGGCAATTTCTGGGCAGCTTACAAACATTAAGAAACTGATAAAACATTAACATGATAAAGTAATAATAACAAACCAAATAACCGTTACAATAACAGCCGGGAGGAGGTGAGCACTAACCACATGGGGAGAGGTTGGGGGGGGGGGCAGCTTTTAAGATAAATCGATAGCCCCCTGTGGACCGTTGCATCTGTGTTGGGCTCCCAGCCAGGCTCCAAGACATCACAAAGGGATTGTCTGCCTAGAATAAAACGAGCCTTGGAAAACATTGGATGAGAGTTTTCTTCTGGAATACCATTCTCCTCTCTCTCTCTCTCTCTCTCTCTCTCTCTCTCTCTCTCTGTGTGTGTGTGTGTGTGTGTGTGTTTGCTTGTTTTGTGTTCCACCCTGTTTGAGAACCACCGGAGAGAATAAAATATTCTCCCAGGGGATTTTTGAAACCAAGGATGAAAATGGGCTGCAGGTGACGAGATGAGGCAGGATGAGCTTCATGTTTTCTTGCAAAGAAAGCTCCCCACGAGCGAAGTGTTTCTCCCATCAGACCCCGAGTGATCTCTTTTGGCAAGTTGTCATCCACGCCTCCGGTGATGGGGTTTGCCTGTAAGTGTGCCAGCTGTCTTTGGTGTCTCGGGCGCCCACTCTGTTTTCGGAGAGCTCAGTGGAAACAGGGATAAAAGTTGCCTGGATCTTAATGTGGGTTGTCACACAATGATGCTTCCTTGGCAGGAAGTGGATCTCACCTTTGAATCTCTGCCTCTCCCAATAAAGCCGGATTCCCGCAATATATTTATGATTTGCAGCCTCGATGTAGGCTAGATGAGACCAACATTTCCAGGAATATATGTGTTGTGAGTAGCCAGCTACGCAGTCGAACCCCCC